GTCATAATTATTTAGAATTATTTTTTCTAAAAATGTACATTTCTCTGTAATTGTTGAACAGAAATAAGTAAACCACAATATTTATCATTATTAATAATAAATAGTACAAGTTTACACAGTTTACAGTTCTGTTGTTATTAATTTTTTTAATTATTAGTATTTTTTAAAATAATAATCAACAAAGTCTAATAGTTTAAGACTATATTATATTTAAAATAAACTAAATCATTGATAATATAACAATTAGTGTATGTTAAGAAGTTTTTACTTAGTAATAATATTTAGTTACATAATACAGCAATATCTCGCATAGTGTGGCAAAGATCAGTTCTGATTCATTATAATCCGGTTTGAAAATTTCAAAACAAAATAAATTTAGCCCTTTTGCCAGCCTATTAGTATATATATTTTTATTGTATGTTAAAATTTATTTATGTATAAATTGTACTTTTTTTCTCTTCTTCTTATGTATCGATGTTTAGCCAATAAATTATTATTATTATTAATAGTAAATTAGTGCACAAAATTATTGTTTATAGAAAATTGATCAGTTTTCTTTGCCTTTCTACAAACAAGTCTCTTTTTGTAAAATGTATTTTTGTATATATTCAGTTCCTCAATTTGTTTGGTTTCAAATATTGGTAGAACCGCACTATGCGAGGTATTGCTGTATTATATACAAATGCTGTACACATTATATATTATATTGTCATGTCCCAGGGATGAAATTCTGGACACAGTGGAATATTGTCTGGTATTGTATTTGTTGTGGAGTCTCAGTTGTTGGGAATTTAATGAAATTCGTTTGGTTTTACATAACTTTGTTTGTTACTTAATCGATTTAAGATTGATCTGAGACTATGCTCATCATATTAAGATTCTTATAAGACTATGTTCATCTTAAATTACTTATTCTACTTACAAAGTGACTATGAGTAGGGCTTGTATATATTGATGATTAAGTGTTCCCACGGGATTCGTCCTTGGTGGTTTTGTTTATTATAAGGCCGGGACAAAATCCTATGCATTTGTTTATATGGAAAAGATGATCGATTACAATTGTACGTGTAAAGATTATTATGTGCTTATAAAAGGACTTGAATTCGGAGTAACGATAGGATTGTTTACGCTTGGTTCCCTTGTTTATATAAAAGTGTATCGAACCGGGATCACGATGGAGGTTCTATTGTACTTATGTATATGTTTATAAGGCGACTAAGAGACGTCATGGATGTTTCTAGTTCATTATACAATACATTAACAATAATAATTGTAATAATAATGGTTGGACACAACAATATCTATTTCCAATTATATAAACCGTCATAAGTCATTAGAATTATTTTTTCTAAAAATGTACATTTCTCTATAATTGTTGATCAAAAGAAGTAAACCACAATATTTATCATTATTAATAATAAATAGTACAAGGTTACGTTATATTTCCTTGTACATTACAATACAATTATCGCTTTCTTTACATACATTAAGATAAACAACTAAAAGTAGTGGAAATTTTATGTGTTCACAATAGTGATTCCACATGTTCAGGGTTTCTTTAATTACCTTTGTGCTATTACAAGAGAGTTCCATATTGTTTACATACCGATTAACACTTTATACTATTTTTAATTTTTCGTTGCTCGAACACCTGGACATGCGTTATTCTCAAGCAAATTCTATTCTTAAGCAACGTAAATTCTGCAATTTCTATACTTCAAAATGTAACGTCAGATTGCCATGAAATTATGACAGGCGTCATCTGAAGGTTGGTACTTCCTAAAAATTGTATGGATTTGTCGATAGAGGCGCCATCTCCATGTCTATGAACTTATTGAGTGAGTTAATTCATCAATTTAATTAAACAGATTATTTAAAAACTAATTGCGTTTTAATTATTTTTGTTTGAATTTTTTTGTTAATTTCATTTAGATTTAATTGTTAATAAAATTGGTGCGTTATTTGCGATGATGAACGAGGTATATTGTAAACTATTTCTCTGTCTATTTAATCAATCTATTATTAGATTCTAAATGGCAAAAGGTAAAGTCTATCCACGCGCAAAATATTAGTATGCTCGACGAAGCGATTCGTTCTAAATCTGTATTCACAATTTGCGTTACAACTCTAATGTAAACATGGATTCGATGAATGATGATTCATTAATTTGTCTTTACTTATAACCGATAATAATAATTTAATTACAGTATAATTAAGATAATTTAAAACAATTAACAAGTCAATTTATATTATTTTTTAATAAGATTATTTAGTAATTTTATAAAAACAATAATAATTATTTTTAGTTAGATAATATTCAATAAGTTTGTAATCAATTGGTTAACAAATATAGTCTAAATTATTACTATTTTATTACAAAATTTATCAACTATAAAATCCTTGTATAATTCAATGCGTGTGGTATTAAGACTTTTAATGAATCATTTATATTCTGTTGCAGCAAAAGATTACCAATCTCCCATTCAAAAACCATTAAGCCATATATTGTTTTTCTTTGTTAGCTGTTAAATATTCATTTTTCGATTAAATTAATTACGTTTTGATTCAGTTAAATGTACTGTCAATGTTAATATAATACAATTATTGGTGTGATGTAATAATGAAAATTGTAAAAAAAATAACAATATTTTTTGCAACAATAAATTACAAAATAAAAAATAATCTCTATATAATAATTAAAATTAAATCAAATTCATCTGCAAAAGGCATAGAAGTTTGTTAATATAGAAGGTTCAATAGATCATCTACTAAAATTATAAACTCGTACAAAAACTTGAAAATCGAAGGTAACTTTTTTTCTTTTTGCATCGCGCGAGTACAATGTATTTTATACGCCTGTGCCATCGTTTGTCCAAAGTTCAAAAAAGGATAAAGGTTAAATTTTAAAAAGTGAATAAAAAATGAATGATATTTTTAAACTTTTATAAAACAAGAGAAATCTTGAGAAATCTAAGTTGATGGATAATGGTAATAAATCACAACTCTCAACTAGTCGAGTCCAAATTAAAGAAAAGTAATTTAACATTAAATGAACAGTAAAATAATTTACACTAATATTTGTAATAGATTATTATATAATATTAAACAAAAATTAAATAAAAATATTGAAATTAAAAATCAACTATCAGTATTTTTTAAGATCAGAATATTTTGAAACAGGTACTTAATATGGATTATATTGAGTATTTTTCTATGGATTTGTTTAATTAAATTTAACTTATTGCTTATGTAAGGAAAGTAACTCCAGAATTGAATAACTTGAAAATCGAATCGGTACTTGAATCGAATCGAATCGGTACGTTCAAGACGATGTTTACTACACAATTATCAATTTAAGAAAGAGATTAAGATTGATATAATCATTAGCTTTCGCGCCGAAAAGTAACGTTAATTGGTCGGTAATGTGTTTGTTACCTGATTTATTCGCAGTCCGAACTTTGATTCAGTAATATGTAGTGTCAATGTTAATATATTACAAATATTGGTGTGATGTAATAATTTGTTACTTTTTCATGATATACAGTACGAACTTATGAAAGTTCGAACAACATAAAACTTGAAATAGAAAATCAAGAAAAAAAACAAATTTGAAACTCGTACAAAAAAAAACTCGAAAGTCGAAGGTAAAAAGGAAATAAAAATTAATGATATTTATTAAATACCTTTGAATTCAAGTAAAAATTAAAGAAAAGTAATTTCAATGATATGATATATCCTTTCTACTAATATTATTATTTTTTTTTAATTTATTAATAAAAATAATGTATATTTATGACAGCAAGCTTTATACATAGCTTAATAATAGAAAAAAAGGATAATTAAAAGGACGTAATAAAGATATGATTCAGCAACCACACAACACATTATTTGAAATCATCAATTCTTTAAAGATTAATTCTTTAAAGATCTTTTTACCATTGATTATATTCAATAAATAAGTCCTCGACTTATGCTGTTAATTCGTTCCATAAGTTTCAGTTTGAAACCGTGTAAATTGAGAACTGTATTTATTTCTCGAATTGATTCATTAAATTAATTTATATAAAATAACTCCAGAATTGAATAACTTGAAAGTCTAATCAGTTCCTGGAAAGAATTATTATTGAAGATCGAAGTTTTATACGAACATAATCCGTTCAAAGACGAGTTTTACTACAAAGTTATCGATTTAAAAAGAGAATTAAGCTTCATATTACCACTAGCTTTAGCTCCGAAAAATAGCGTGTCGGTTCATCTAGATTGGAACGATGGTTTAAATTAAAATTATCTAATATCTTTCATAACCAAAACAATTTTAGATTGTTTTAACATATGTTGTTTATTTTTCTAAATTTGGTATGTATTGGATCTATCAATATTTCAATACTCAAATTAAAGAGAAAGTACTTCTTGATTGTTTACGAAATTCTAATAATAGTAATAATATTTATTGACCAGACTTCAATTATAACAACAAAAAAGTACATCCTATAAATCAAAACATAATAATAATATTAACAATAATGACAACCAAATAATAAAAATTCGGAACAAGAGAGAAGAAAAAAAATTTTAACATGAAAAATAATAAACCTAGGTCGATGTCTTTCCACCCGGGCGAGATTCTATTAAAGTTTAAATTATAAAATATTCATATTTATTTCAATTTCAGATTACTTTAACAGATGTTGTTTTATTTTCTAATCTCCATTTGCATTGCATCTATCAATAACTAAATATAGAAATTTATAGACGCATTTGAGTTGACTATAAGCGTTGTTCATCTAGGGTGGCATTCGGTCGTCCACCGACCCCATTTGACTCACGTAAACTTCGCTCCTTATGCCATATGTGCACATAGATGACATCAGTCTCAAGACCCCTTTCTTCCTTCCTTTAACCGCCTTCGTACATATACACACTCACACACTTATAAATGTGTGATTTCGCATCCAATGTCGTCGTTACGGAACGAAATGAAAAAGCGGCGTGTCGCAACGATACGAGTCAGTTCCCTTTACGACAAGCGCGAGTCCACCGTGTGGGCAAAACTTGTTTTTTTTTTGTAATTTCAAACTCTCAGATTCATTTTCTACTATCCAATTCATATCCAACCTTCGTGCGTTTAGTTTAAACTAAAAAATAATAGTTAAATGCTAAGTCGCGCCAACGCTCGAATATATCGTTCAAACATTCCAGTGCAGCAACAAATGAATCAGTTTTGTTTGTATATTTGAGTAAGCGAATCAGGGAATCATGGATTACAGCAGTGAGTATTGTTTTTTTTTGGTATTATTTTGATTGTTGATCCTGGTGGGCGTCGAGGATCGTATTCGCAATCTGGGAATTACACGAGATTCCTCGCACAAACAGCGTTATCGCGTTTTTATCCTTCCATCCTGATGCGAAAGGAAGGGCCTTAACGGCATCGTCCATTACTTTGATTGGAATTGGATCGTAACAGTGGCCTGCTGGAAATCTGCACTCAGGTCTAATTGAATGACGATGGATTATCAAAAAAAAAAGAATGAAAGAAAACTATAAATATAAACAAATTGGTGGAATAAAAACGAACTCTTAATGAGTCGTTCACATTATCAATTTTCGCACGCGCTCTGTATGCAAAGTGCACCGTGAACCAGTAAAAAGAATATTTATAGAAGCACATCAATTACAGCGATTACATCACGGCAAAACCAATATGGTTTAACAGTGAGGTAAATTATAATAGTCATATTTTTGGATGACCACAAGTTTCGAATCGGTTCTTTTTTTGCACGTAATTCGTTGCGACAGGCTGTGCATCTAAATGATAATTTTTTAGTTAACAATCGCCGACAGTTATGACTTTGCACTTAATTAAAAAAAATAACAGTGCATTGAAACTATTTTACAAGATGCGACTTATTCTATTGAGGATTTAATTGAAACTCGTGTTGTTTTTTTGAAATAAATTGAGAAACGTTTGTGCAATACATTTTGTTTTTGTTTTGCACTTATATACTAAAAATCGGGAAAGGCTAAAAATAGAAGAAATCTATGTATAGAAATGAGGCAATTCCGTGTAATTTGCATTGATTGCTAGCTATATCAGCACAAGGAAGTGAATACATTATGTTAACGTTTATTTACTTGATTTACCAAAATCTACTTCTTTCGTATTCCATATCAACATTTTTCAACCTTTTTTTTGTGCGACTCAACCTGCGTCGGAGTAAGGAAATATTGTGTTTGAGGCAGTGGCGGAACTTCAAATCTTTGTCTCCCCTGCAAAATATTCTTCGGGCCCTAAACTCGATAGCTAGGTCATAAGGCTTAAGTAAATTTGGAGTATTTAGACAAGTTTGATAGCACCTAGCAAATTTGTATTTGAGGCCCAACTTGACTTGAAGTAGAGAAAATCATAGAAACCTAAGCAACAGTTAAAATATTGATGACCGGGGTATAGAGTGTCGGTTCTTGGATAGCCACATTAAGAATGTCATGGGTCCCAGACACCAGTTAGTTTTAGCATATGAGGGCCCATTTTTATTTGCGCCCTCTATAGATCGGTTCGGCAGCATTATAGTTTCGTCACTAGTTTGAGGTTAATATATAATTTGCGCCACTGCCTCAATAGGACAAAATGTTTAATTTGTGCCGACTTTGTTTAATTGTTTATAATATAAAATTGTTGACGCTTTGACAGCTGTCATTTTGTGACACATTAGAAAAATTAATGCGATTCAATATTTTATTATACAATAGGAGGCGGAAAACATAAGGAAGTGAAGATGAATATTTTGTTGCAACTCAATATCAATGACATTATTTTATATAATAATTAGTTAATTCCGAATTAAATTATAGCCAAAGTACCTAGCAAATTTTTATTTGAGGGGGGCTTGATTTGAAGTAGAGAAAATTATAGAGACCTAAACAACACTTGAAAAATTGATGACAGGGGTGTCGATTCTCCGAGGGCCATATTAAGAAAGTCATGGGTCCTAGACACCAGTTAGTTATAGTATGTGAGGGCCCATTTTTTATTTGGGCCCTCTATAGATCGGTTCGGCAGCATTATAGTTCCGCCACTAGTTTGAGGGCAATATATAATTTGCGCCTCAAAAAATCAAACGGACAAAATATTTATTTATTTTTGGGCACCTTTCGCCCAAAAGACAAAACTTACACCATTACGACTGATGCGACTGATTAAAACATACGCTAGACCAAACATATGTGTTTGTAGTTCTACTGTGACCCAATTGTTTATAATATTAATTTTTTGGTGCTTTGGCACAAGGTGACAGCTGTCATTTGTGACACATTAAAAGAATTAACACTATTGAATATAGCCGAATTATATTATTGCCAAAACTTCAAAATTATATTTTTTTCGTGTATTTTTTTCTGTTATATCCTTTATATTTTTATATAATTATAATATATAAATAACTAACAAATAGAGAGATTGGTTCAACAGACTTAAAACATGTCGTTAAGAATAATTGGCGGGAAACATTACTACTTTCTATTTAAAGTGAACTCGATTCAGCAGTATAATGAACGTACAGATTAATTGATCTACCAGGTCTTGAACTTAGAATCTAATTTAAATTTTAATTGCTGACAATGTAGATCTAATAGCCTCCTCCAATGTTTACTAGTTGTACAGCTAAGATTTTTCAACGACGTGACCTTCGTTTTATTCTAATTTAAAACAGAATTGATACGGCAGACGCATTCCAATTGGTCGTGTGGGAAAATCGTTGATCTCTTCGAAAAACAAAAATTACATAAACCATACCAAAATTAGTCACATGTAAAATATTTCCGGTAGATCAATATTCTTAATTGCGTTTGAAGATATAAATTAACATTGAGATTCAAACAATTAATGTGTAAGCAAATATAGGTAACAATTATTACTACTGCTTGATGATGTTTTCATGGATTAACATACGTCATGATCTTCCAAAGAAACTGCGTCATTTGATTTTAACATAAATTATATTTTTCCATTTAATGAAATGTCAGTCACTAAACATATTAGCATTACATATTTAATACAGTTCAAAAAGATATTTATAAAAGATAAATGCATAGGCTGTCCCGAAAGATTTGAATTTGCCGCCATTTGTGCAGTAAAGTGTTGCCAACCCCAAAAGAAAAACAATTTGACAGCTGAGAGGTTAGGCTTAGTAAAAATCTTACTTTAATTTTGGGACAATCTTCATATCTTAAAGACATAAATATATATATAAGTAAATTGAAAATTATGTAATTATTGCGTATTATTTATTTATATAAACTCAGCATTTAATGAAATAAAAGTAATACAAAAAAAAACCTCGTATAGTGCTATTCCGTCAATATCCCACACTGTTAGGAACCGGACAATAAAACCGCATAAAAATGAACAGAAGAAAAGAAAAAAGGAAAACTATTTTTTATATATACAAATTATTTTTTTAATTTATTTGTCAATTAAAATTTACTTTGTTTTCTGTATATAAAACTAATTTTTTGTATATTTTCATTATGAACATAAAGCAAACATACATTTTTTTCTCATTGATGTTAGTAACGTTATAAATTTTGTATAATTTGTATGATCATCTCGTTTTCTTTAATGGACTTGCAAAACCAGTTCTGATGAATGTTGTCCCATAAATGAATGCTCTTAAAATAATGATTTAATTTCCGCTGTTTGTGTTTCTTATGAATATAAATCAGTTTGATCATCGTTAATCATCAAATGGTTATATAAAAGTTATTGCATTTGATTTAATAAAATTTCTCTTTAAACTATTATAATCTAAACTTATATAATGATGGTCTCATATATTTAGATTTTGACAAAAAAAAAACCTTATTTTCATAATAAAATATAATTGGAAACCTTTAAAGTTAATTTATTAATGTATTTAGTTTCATAGAATACTTAATTTTAAAATTAAAAATGTAAACATTTAAACGAATTAAAATAGTAAACACGACAAATTCAAAATAGAAACAGTTAAGGAAACTAAAGAAACAATACGAAAATAGACTTGACTGAGATACATATGCTTGACAACATCTAAACTTACCAAATTAAATACTAGTACAAACGAACATTATTATTTGTGCCAGAAATTTCTTAAACTGTTTTACATTTATTTTTTTGTTTTATTTTTTCAACAAGTTTAGTATAAAAGTATTGTGATTTATTTAATCACATATTGTAAAATGCAGTCTTGTTGGATGAATTTGGAGTATGGAAGGCGGCATTAAATTTAGACAGCTAAAATAATCAATGACTAAACGGTCCTATATTTATAAGTATGTGGCGCGGTGTTTCTGCACAATTAAGCGATGAATACAAATTGATGATTTCGCTTAATAAAATTTGCGCCGAATTAATACTAATTGCCATTGAAACGGTTGCATCATTCAGGCTTTCAAGCCGATATTCTTCATCCTGTCTTCGAACGCGCCAGGCCGATACATCAAAGACACGCCTGGCCCCAATAACATAAAAAAAATGAGAATTATCATTTTAATTACACCACGAACAAAGAATGTGACTGCAATAACTATTCGGACAGGCTTCATTCTTCCGTCTTCAATTAATTGAATGCATGTAGAAAATGTTGAAAAGAAAAAGCTGGTTGGTCTGCTTTATTTCTTGTGACTAATTTAGGGGAGAAAATTGTTATGTTTGCATTTGGAAAAATCTGTTCTCACTTCCGTAAATAATTTGTTTGTGTATGCGCTTACTCGGGACCGGCGTCGGGACGCCAGATTTCGACGCCCGGCTTCAGTAGAGCGGCTTCTGGCAGAATGCGGCCGATCCTCTTGTCACCAGCACGCGCGTTATGCGCCTAGTTATATACACATTTTTTGTCCAGAGTGGAGATGTGCTTTAGAGTTTTGTGCCAACTTTGAACATTAGTTACAATGACTGGAGGTTACTACGGCCAAGGTAATTTCACAATTACTCAATTTAATTTATCATTATAAAAAAAATGTATCCAAACTATATTTCCTAAACATTTGATTTACAAGTTTATACGTATTGATACAATGGAATTAGCTACTTCTACAGGAACATAAATCACATTTCAACTGACCATACTTATATTTAAATTTTTTTATTTTACATATTTTTTCTATTTATCGCCCACAATGTTTCCTATAAACTAATGTTGTGACTTGGAATGCGATGTCTTTGCCAAAAATAAACAATAAATTATAAAATTATATTCAATTAAATCGAATAAAACAATAATGTATTATATTAAA